CTTGTAATATATTTACTTGGATTAAAATTTAAAATTCTAAAGTTTTCCTCCCACCCTATCCTCCCAGTTTCTACATTCTCCACACCTATGAATCATTTTAGATTTCCTTTATCTGTGTACAAACAAATACAAATATATTCTTATTCTTTTTCTCAGAAAAGGAACCACACTATTATGCACTATTCTCATCTTTTTTCAGCGTATTATAGAAATCTCCCCTTATCGGCACAGAGCTTCATTACAGTTGTGTAACATCTTGATGGGCATATGGATTAGTTTTGGACTTCTGCTTTTAAGAATGAATCTGTAATGGGTTTTGTGTATGCAGATATATTTTCAGAATGAATTCTTAGAAGTGGAATTGCTGAGTCAAGTAGGCCTCTAATTTTATTTGGGTCTCAGAGGATGACTTCTGAGTTTTTCATTGTATACTCTTCTATACTATTCATTTTTCCAAGGGCAGTTACTACCTTTATAATTTTAAAAAGATTAATGAGCTGATATGGTAATGAGTATTTACTCATTCATGTATATGTTTTATAAATTGTTTTTCCATATATCTGACCTCTTCAAAGTAATACAGATGTGCATTTGTTTAAGAGTTCCTTTTCATCTTGCTTTTTGTCCCTTTAGTTGGTGTATTTGTAAACGGAATTAAGTTTTTCATTTCCTCTCAGGTGAAAGCTGGAATAGCAGCTCATTCGGAAGCCAAAACCAGCGGACTCCTGTGGGCTGGATTGGCACTGCTGTCCATTCAGGGTGGGGCACTAGCCTGGCTCACGTGGTGGGTGTACTCCTGGGATATCATGGAACCAGTTACATACTTCATCACATTTGCAAATTCTATGGTCTTTTTTGCATACTTTTTAGTCACTCGACAGGTGAGTAGTTTGTTAGGAAAATGGTAAGTTAGAACATCTTTGCAAAGAATCTCTTATCTAAGCAATGAGCAATAAAGCCTTTTTATTTACTGAATTACTGCCATCTGGGTTTTTATGAGCTGGTAAATGTATTATTTTTCACAAGACTGGATGAAGACTTACAACACAGAGAAATTATATATAACTTCTATGGAGAAGTAATTAGTGTAACACACAGATTCCTCCATTGGGATAAACATGTGTTCTCTGTGCCCTCATTTATAAATAAAACTGAATTTGCATTGCAAAACATTCAGTAATATCAGCTTTGTCTCATGGTTTATTCAGTATGCCAAAAATCTCCCTTTTCTTTTTTCTTCCCTCTTCTTTCCCATTATGTGTAATTTCTCCCAGCTTGCCTGTTTTTGAAAGGAGCAGATCTTAAATGAGAGTAAATGTTTTATTTGTGTTGGCTTATGCTTACTCTCATGGCCATTGCAAATATTTTACCCATTCATCTGCCTTCTTTTGCTTTGGTGTTGCTGAGTCAAGTATCCTTGCAGAGGCATTATGTTCATTCAGAACATGTTATTTTCTTCTCTCTCTTTTTTTTTAAGGATTATACTTACTCAGCTGTTAAGAGTAGGCAATTTCTTCAGTTCTTCCACAAGAAATCAAAGCAACAGCATTTTGATGTGGAGCAATACAACAAGTTAAAAGAAGACCTTGCTAAGGTATACTACAAATACATCTTACAGCTGGTTTGTTTGGGAGCCTGAACTTAGTATCAGGGAAATACAATTGGTGGCTCATCCTCACAAATTAAATCTTGGTCCTAGATTTCTGTGTGTTGTAGGATTGTTCATTGAAATGGTTGACATATTTCATATTAATTTCATATCCCACAGTTTTACTCTTCTGTATATGAAGATAGCTTTAAATATGTGTTAAACTTTCTTAAATGACTTGAGATAGTAAAATAAAAACTTTCACTGGAAATCCAAAACAGAATTTTAGGAAGGTGAACACTGAAGGAATTTAAGGCATTTATAAGTTTCTTTTCCCTAAAGATAGAAGAATCATTATAGTATTCCTCCCTTCATCTTTTTCCCTTCTGAAAGGCACTTACTCAGGTATACACTGCTAGAAAGTGAAGGAACCATGGTATGAACACAAGTTTGATTTTGGAGTCTATATTCTTAAGTACTTTTTCACAATCTGTTTGTTAGCCAGTTATCTCTGGCCTCCCAATTTACTCATTAACTTTGTTCAGATGGTGATTTCTCAGCACATCACCTGATTTTTCATTTTTATCAGTAATTTCATAACAAGTTTTAGTAAAAATATCCTCCATTGCTCAATGCATGCTTGTTTAGTAGTTGGTAATCAAACCTTTTATTATCTGTACTTTCTAAATTACTCATCCCTAAAATTTAAAACAGAATCACTCAAATTTTGTAGTTCAAAAATTGAAGAGCATTTTAATTTCATTTTTAATTTTTTTTTTTTTTTTTTGAGACGGAGTCTTGCTGTCGCCCAAACTAGAGTGTAGTGGCGCAATCTCAGCTCACTGCAACCTCCACCTCCTGGATTCAAGTGATTCTTGTGCCTCAGCCTCTTGAGTAGCTGTGACGATCAGTGCCTGCCACCATGCCTGGCTACTTTTTTTGTATTTTCAGTAGAGACGGAGTTTTACTATGTTGTCCAGACTGGTCTCAAACTCCTAACCTCAAGTGATCCGCCCGCCTCGGCCTCCCAAAGTGTTAGGATTACAGGCGTGAGCCACCATGTGTGGCCAAGCCTTTTTTAAAAATGTATTTTATTTCATATAATCATTCTATAGGAAAAATATAATGCTTTTAAAAAAATTTTGTGGATTCCCTTATATTTGAATAAGCCTATCTGAGAAGGCTAAGGAATGTTCTTTCAGCTAGTTTATAGGACAGTGCCTTTGAGATTTAGAAGGTAAGCCTAGTGTGATCCCAGCGATTTGGGAGGCTGAGGTGGGAGGATCTCTGGAGTCCAGAAATTGGAGACCAGCCTAGTCAACATAGTGAGACCTCATCTCTACAGAAGTTGTTTTTAAATTAGCTGGGCATGGTGGCACATACTTGTAGTCCTAGCTACTTGGGAAGTTGAGGCAGGAGGATCCCATGAGCCCAAGAGTTCAACACTGCAGTGAATTATGATAACACCACTGCACTCCAGCCTGGGCAGCAGAGTGAGACCCCATCTCTAAAAAAATTTTTAAAATATTTAACACCTTGTTAATTATCTCTAAGGTAATAAAGTGGAGATAAAAAGATAAAGTGGTAGGTTAAGGGTTTTTTTAAAGAATATGAACTGAAAAACCATTATAAAGGGGATAAACTAGTATTATTATTATTATTTTTATTTTTTGGTTTGGTTGTTTTAAACCTTTTTTTTTATTATTATCATACTTTAGGTCTAGGGTACGTGTGCATAATGTGCAGGTTTGTTACATATGTATACTTGTGCCATGTTGGTGTGCTGCACCCATCAACTCATCAGCACCCATCAACTATTATTTTTTTAAATACATAAGGATGAATTAGTAAACTCATCTTTTAAAAAGATACACATATAATATTGAAATATTTATATCCCATCACTTTGGGAAGCTAAGGTGGGCAAATCACTTGAGTCCAGGAGTTCAAGACCAGCCAGGGCAACATGGCGAAACTCCCTCTCTACAGAGAATACCAAAAAATATTAGGCAGGCATGGTGGTAGGCACCTGTGGTCCCAGCTACTTGGGAGGCTGAGGCAGGAGAATCACTTGCACCAGGGAGGCGGAGGTCACAGTAGGCTGAGATGATACCACTGCACTCCTGCCTGGGTGACAGAATGAAACCCATCTCAAGAAAAAAAAAATTTAGCCATTTGTCACTAATAGTTTAAACATTTTATTGCTGTAAGCAGACGTTGTTTATAGAATTCCTTTCAAGCAGTAACATTGGTATGTTTCTCATTCTTTCTGATCACATGCTGTTTCTTTTTCCCACGACAGGCTAAAGAATCCCTGAAACAGGTGCGCCATTCTCTCTATTTCCAAATGCAAGTAGAAGAACTCAATGAAAAGAATTAATCTTACATTTTTAAATGTCATCGGATTTTCCATTTTGTATTGATTTTGCAACTTAGGATGTTTTTGAGTCCCATGGTTCATTTCAATTTGATTGTTCAATCTTTTTTTTGTTATTAAATTCTTGTAAAACAGAAGTATTGTTTGAAGTTCTCAACTGAGATTTTTACTTTTTGGATTTTTAAGACTTGCTAATGTTAGAAAGGGCTTGTATGTGTCTATCAAAGCAACAGTGGCTGCTGTTAGCTAAAAATCCTTGTCAGCTTGTCCCATGTTTATTCTCTATGTGAAGGTGAAAGGGTATGTGCTTGGCATTCACTTTCATTCTTAGACTTAATTTGGAATCATCTTTTTTAAAAAAAATTAGAGACCAGGTCTCACCAAATCAAACTCCTGGGCTCAAGCAACCCTCCTGCCTCAACCTCCCACGGAATCATCTTGTCATTAACTTCTTTTTTAATATGCAATAGTTTGGAGTAAGATCTTTTTATCATTTATCAAAAAGGCATAAATGTTCCACCGACCATAAAGTATAGCTGGTACTAACTTCACCTGAAACAGTGTATATAAACGATTGCTTTTGAACCTGCAAATCACAAGTTTCAGGTATTGAAGCCAAAACAGTTAACCTTCTTCAGCCTCTGGCAGATTATTAACAAAACAGTATTACCCAGATTCTACATCATATTAATATGAATTGAACCTTGAAAGTAACACCTGTTATTCTATTAATGTGATCATGTGTAAATGGGTCTGATGACTGTTGGACTGTTTATAGGAACTTAACATGGAAGATGCTGACAGAATCCGATTTTGCAGATGTTCAGCCTGTAGTGGCTAAGAATTATCATGTTTTCTATTTCATCCTCAGAATGCCATATAACAATTCTGGAATGCTGATTTTTTTAAAAGTAGGAATTAAAGTCATACACAAAATGTGGTAATTCATATGTAGATGAAATTTTAAACATTTATATGACCGAGTAAAAAACATCTATCAGTTACACAAATGAACAAGAATGCGAGTTAGAAAAATGTAGTAAAATATGAATTTCAAATACTTTATTAAGGGATCATGATTTAATTCCTGGATTTCAAAAACCTTTAAAAAATCAAACAATAAACTTTTATAAAAAAAGTAACAAAATACAAGTTAAATCAGCTAGATTTTTATGTAACCCTGCAGTTTATTAATGCTTGTAAATTTTTATTTACCTAATTTCCTGAGGATTTTGTTTCTGCATATCAAACCCTTTCACCATGGCCAACATGAATTTTTTTTTTTTTTTAAAGGCAGTTCTCTGCTGGGCATTAAACTTTAAAACATTTGAATCATTGGACTATAATGCTTCAGCCTAACGATATTTATATAAAAAGAAGAGAAAGACATTTTCTTTTTTTTGAGACGGAGTTTCACTCTTATTGCCCAGGCTGGAGTGCAATGGCGCAATCTCGGCTCACCACAACCTCCCCCTCCTGGGTTCAAGTGATTCTCCTGCCTCAGCCTCCCAAGTAGCTGGGATTACAGGCATGCGCCACCATGCCTAGCTAAATTTTTTTTGTATTTTTAGTAGAGACGGGGTTTCTCCATGTTGGTCAGGCTGGTCTCGAACTCCCGACCTCAGGTGGTCCGCCCGCCTCAGACTCCCAAAGTGCTGGGATTACAGGTGGGAGCTACCACGCCTGGCCGAGAAAGACATTTTCAGTAGATTAAATTGTAAAATAAGATAGCCCCTATTAATTAGATTTTGGAAAGAAATGCAGCTTTTTAGTTAGCATTGAGGCAAAGCAGGGAACCTGCTTCTTTCCAATCGCACTTGGGTCTTTGCAAAAGTTCACTCGGCGCTGAGAAACTTTCCTGTTCACCAGTGTGAGGAGTTCTGTGAACTCTAAGGAGGAGCCATATTTTCCCAACATCTCACACAAATCCTGAATGTACCATGAGCCGTTCAGAGTTTCCCGATGAGAATAATATCCTAAAAAAGTGAGAAGGAAAATGTTGCTGCAGTTTTCTAGCTTTCAGTTACTGTGTGTATTCTTTATAGTTACAGAAGTATAAGTTCTTAAAAATGCTTAGAAGAGTCTTAAGATGTGTCCATGATATATATGGCTTAAATTTTTTTTTGACTCTTCTCAAATGGAAAAAAGAGATTCTGTATAGTTTTATATACATGGGGTTAATTCTATATAATTTCCTCCATTTCCTAAAAAATTCCCAAGATAGACAATGACTGAGACATGAGATTACTAAAAAGAAGTCAAACAAAATTATTCACTACAAAAGCAAAGAACCATTATCAAAATATTTTTCAGCTGGGCATGGTGGCTCATGCCTATAATCCCAGCACTTTGGGAGGCTGAGGCAGGCAGATCATTTGAGGTCAGGAGTTCGAGACCAGCCTGGCCAACATGGTGAAACCCCGTCTTGACTAAAACTACAAAAATTAGCTGGGTGTGGTGGCAGGCATCTGTATTCCCAGCTACTCGGGAGGCTGAGGCAGGAAAATCACTTGAACCCAGGAGGCAGAGGTTGCAGTGAGCCGACATTGTACCACTGCACTCCAGCCTGGGCAACAGAGTGAAACCCTCTCAAAGAAAAAAAGACACACACACACATATGTGTATATATATACACACACACATATATATGTAATAAATATACATATATATGTAATACATATACACATATAATATATACACATATGTATGTAATACATATTATATATACATATATATGTATAAAAAAAATGCTGAGTGCAATGGCTAATACCTGTAATCCCAGCACTTTAGGAGGCCAAGGCTGGAGGATCACTTGAGCCCAGGAGTTTGAGACCAGCCTGGGCAACATAGAAAGACCCAGTCTCTACAGAAAAGTTAAAAAGTTAGCCAAGCATGGTGGTGCATGCCTATAGTCCCACCTACAGGGGGGCTGAGGCTCAGTTTCTCAAAATTGAGGCCACAGTGAGCCATGATCATGCTACTGCACTCCAGCCTCAGTGACAGAGTCAGACCTTGTCTCAAAAAAAAAAGGCTTTCCAGGACAATTACCACAATGGCACTACCACCCTCAGTAAATGATGGTAGGCTAATATTAATATAATTAGACTTGCTGCTTTACTCAATATAACTCTCAGGAATGATTTTTCTGTAAGGTATTTTACACTTTCATTTATCACTCTGTGCCATGTGGTCAAAGAAAATTATAAGTCTGAGAGCTTCAGGATGGAATCACTCTGTCCCAACAGAAAGACCTGACCCAAACCAATCAAAGGTGAAACTTACAGGGCCTTAGCCAAGAGAGGTAATTATATGTTTGTTTTAAACACCACACACCTTCTGCAACGGAGTAACACATAAGGAAGTCAGCTCCAGCAGGCAGCGTGTAAACGGAGGCTGCATCTACCTCAGTTATGTTGGTGTCCAGCTTGTCTGTCTGATTATCTACTGCATCCAAAGGAATGACTGGCACATCGTGCTGGTCTCCCCGACATGCCTACAAGACAAGGAGGAAAAACCCACCTCTTTGCCTACTGTTTTCTTCCCAGTGCTTAATGTGTGCGGTGAATGTGTAAGCCGGTACACCTTCATTACAACAGAAACCACATTCTGAGCAGTTCAGAAGCAATACATTCAGGTTTAGAGGGGACAAAAGCCAACAAAGCTGTTTCCTACTTATGTTTTCTTTTAGTTAATTATTATTATTATTTTTTTGAGACGGAGTCTCGCTCTGTCGCCCAGGCTGGATGGAGTGTAGTGGCGCGATCTCAGCTGACTGCAAGCTCCGCCTCCTGGGTTCACCCCATTCTCCTGCCTCAGCCTTCCGAGTAGCTGGGACTACAGGCGCCCACTACCACGCCCGACTAATTTTTTGTACTTTTAGTAGAGACGGGGTTTCATCGTATTAGCCAGGATGGTCTTGATCTCCTGACCTCGTGATCCGCCTGCCTCGGCCTCCCAAAGTGCTGGGAATACAGGCGTGAGCCACTGCACCTGGCCTTTTAACGTTTTAAGAAAACATTGGCATCCCCAAGTATACATAAAATTATGTTGGTAGAAGGGTACACTGTAGAGGAAAAAGCTTGTGGTTTTAAAATTTTTATGGATTAACCACACCCAGGGCACACTGCGTTACCTTCGCTTTTGAAAGCTATAGTATTGACCTCAGTGTTTCTATTTAGGCAGGCAGTGTATGTCCAGATTGACTTTTGCTTGCCTGGCTGCTGCTATAAATTATTAGGAGTTAAAAGGACATTCAGCCTGACCTGACAAGATACCTGTTAATGCACCTTCTTCCTTGTGTGCCCATTAAAAAGTGAGGTCTCAAGTTTTTACTCACTAATTCTGACTCACTCAGAATTTACATTAAATTTAGACTCACTCAAAATTAACATTAAATTCTGACTCACTCAGAGAAAAGGTTAACACTCACTCTTACGAGAAGAGGCTAACACTAAACTCTTCTCGTAAGTGACTTTTACAGGCTGAATTGTGTTCCCACCAAATTCATATGTTGAAGTCCTAGCCCCAATACCTCAACTGTGACTGTATTTGAAGACAGGGCCTTTAGAGGTGATAAAGAAAAATGAGGTCATACGGGTGAACCCAAATCCAACATGACCAGTGTCTTCATAAGAAGAAATTGGGACACAGACATGCACAGAAGAAAGACCATATGAAGGCACAGGGACAAGACAGCCACCTACAAGCCAAGAAGGGAGGCCTCAGAAGAAACCAACCCTCCCCACATCTCCATCTCAGACTTCCAGCTCCGGGACTGGGACGATACATTCCCGCTGTTGAAACCATACAGACTGTGGTGCTTTGTTATGGCCACCCTATACATGAATACAGTCAGCTAATAAGATTCTGTTATAGCATTATAAATGCAACAATCAGTTCTGAAATGGTTAAAGAATTATGAGCATCAAAAGTCCTGAACGATTTAAAATCATAAATAGAAAATCCCCACTATCCCATTTGTATAGGCAAATTTTAATCTTGGTATCAGCAGGCTTATTTTCAGGCCTTGTTTTCCACTGTCCTTAAATAAAACAGAACACCTTTAACCTGATGGCATCACCTGCCCAGTCAACTGCAATAACAGTAAAGAGCGAGCCTCTACTGAGGGTGTGCCGTATGCCAGGCACCGTTCTAAGTGGTTTTCATTCATTAAGTCAGGTAATTTTGCCCGCACAACCACCCCATAAGGGAGGTGCTCTTTTTACCAAGAATCTAAAGCATACAGAGAAAGTAACTTGGCAAATTATTTCCTTCATTTGTGGCTTTCTTCCTGTAGTAGCTCGTTAGTTATTTCCACTTCTCTTGTGTTCGACAGTGTTGACCACTCCCTTTTTCATGAAACAATCATGTCATCATGTGTTTCTTATTTTTCTCCTGGTGTCCATCCTCCTCAGTATCTTCCCTCTTCAGCCCATTCCTCATGGGTGCCCCCCAGTTTTGTTTTACGCTCCTTTTTCAGGTGGTATTCAACATAAGTAAACTCATCTAATCCCATGGCTTCCATGACCACCTCCTGATTTCTTTCTCCAGCCGAGGCCACCTGTCTTAGGTTCTACACCTGTATCACCAATTCCATTCCCACAGACATTCCAATGCAGTTGTCCAAACCAGAAACGAGGCAGTCATCCTTCACTTCTTACAGCCACTTCCTCACCCCAAAACAAGGTTTTATGGTCAGATGTGAAATGCAGTTTCATGTTTGATACGGTTTGGATTTTTGTCCCCTCCAAATCTCATGTTAAAATGTGGTTCCCAGTGTAGGAGGTGGGGCCTGGTAGAAGGTGACTGGCTCATCGGGGAGGATCTCTCATGAATGTTTAGCATCTTCCCCTTGGTGATAAGTGAGCTCTCACTCAGTTCACATGAAATCTGGTTATGTAAGAGAGTCTGACACCTTCCCCTTAGCACTCTCTTGCTCCCACTCCCGCCAAGTCTCATGCTGGCTCTCCGTCGCCTTCCACCATAATTGTAAGCTTCCTAAGGCTCCACCAGAAGCAGATGCCAGCACCATGCTTCCTGTACCGCCTGCAGAACTGTTGGCCAATCAAATCTCTTTTCCTTATAAATTACCCAGTCTCAGGTACTTCTTTATAGCAATGCAAGAATAGACTAACATAATATTATGTCCTCCATGCCATTCATGGAAATACAGAATTGTGGCACTGGCATGTCAGGTTTCTCTTTTTGTAGTTCAGAATCTTTGGCCGGGTGCAGTGGCTCATGCCTGTAATCCCAACACTTTGGGAGGCCAAGGTGGGCAGATCACCTGAGGTCAGGAGTTCAAGACCAACCTGGCCAACAGGGTGAAACCCCGTCTCTATGAAAATACAAAACTTAGCCAGGCATGATGGCAGGTGCTTGTAATCCCAGCTACTCAGGAGGCTGAAGTGGGAGAATCATTTGAACGCCGGGGGCGGAGGTTGCAGTGAGCTGATACTGCACCATTGCACTCCAGCTTGGGGGACAGAGCGAGACTCCACCTCAAAAAAAAAAAAAAATCCTTAATGATGTGCCAAGTAATACTATTCATGCAAAAAAAAAAATTTTCTTTTTGAGACAGAGTCTCACTCTGACACCCAGGCTGGAGTGCGGTGGTGTGTTCTCGACTCACTGCAGCCTCTGCCTCCCAGGTTCAAGCAATTCTTGTGCCTAATGGCTGGCATTACAGGCACCTGCCACCATGCCCAGCTAATTTTTGTATTTTTAGTAGAGACAGTGTTTCACCATGTTTGCCAAGCTGGTCTTGAACTGCTGACCTCAGGTGATCTGCCTGCCTCGGCCTCCCAAAGTGCCGAGATTACAGGCATGAGCTATCACACCTGTAAAAAATACTTTTATCCCTAAAACCAATTTGGCAGCAGGGAAACAATTTTGGTTTAAGGGGCAATGTGAAAGGGATGAGACAGGATAGGACTAGAAAGCTTTATTTTTCCATTCTTTCCACTGGTTTATATGCTCTCCACCTCCCAAAGAAGCAAACTTAGTCTGATAAGGTTGCCTTGCACGGCACTCTTTAGTCAGCAGGTACCTCTTCCAATGGCTCTCCTTGATAATCATGCTGGGCCAGCGAGTAGCACATTGGTTACTTTGTGAGTCACTTTAAGTGTCAATCCGAATGCTGTTACTTTGTAATACAGACAATGAGAGTGTCAAAGAATTATTACTAAGGGCTCAAAGTGCAACTCTGATTGGCCAGAATTCAAAAAGGGCCTGTCCAATTACTGGAGAAAGTTACTTTCAAAATTGGCTTTTAGACCTTTATCACATGTTCCAAATGACAGACTTTATAATTAAGATGACAACGTAATCAGTCTTACCTGAATGATAAATATCTTGGGTTTTCCAACCAGGCTCTGACACTTGTCTCCTTTGAACAAGCCAGTTAATGTCTGAATTTCAATTTTAGCATCATATGCATAAATGTGATTGCCTTCGCCATGGCTCAGGAAGACACACACAAAGCAATCGGCATCTGCGTGGCTAGAGGTTGACACTATAAAGGACCCAAAAGAGAATATAGAAATGAGAACACGATGCTTGTTATCTACACATAAAAATTCAGTTTATTAATACTAGAATAAAGTTACGTCCATATGACTGGGGAAGAGGAAAATTTGTGGTTTTGTCTTTTTTGTTTTTGTGAGAAAAGAGTTTCACTCTTGGTGCCCAGGTTGGGGTGCAGTGGCACGATCTTGGCTCACGGCAACCTCTACCTCCCTGGTTCAAGTGATTCTCCTGCCTCAGCCTCCCAAGTAGGTGGGATTACAGATTTGAAACCATACCCAGCTAATTTTTGTATTTTTAGTAGAGACAGGGTTTTGCCATGTAGCCAGGCTGGTCTCGAACTCCTGACCTCAAGTGATCCACCCACCTTGGCCTCCCAAAGTGCTGAGATTACAGGCATGAGCCACCACGCCTGGCCTATTCTTTAATAAGTGTAAAATATCTGTAATGAAACAACTTATTTTAGTCTTTAATCAAACAGAATATACCATACTGTATCTTATGTTTTAAAAAATCCAAATTTATTCAAGTTCAGGGTAACAGAGTTTGACCAAATTTCATTAGCCTTTCTAAAACACAGAATGATGTGGAAAACATAAAGGGATTATGATAGGGAATCTCATTTAAGATCCAAGTTACTTCAGCAATAAACTAAAAATCTCCTTGAATCAGCAGAGACCTTAGAGCAAAAGACCCGGGAACTGCTGCTCAACAACTCCCCACGCGTTGCTGCACTTTCACCATAGGAATACAGCACTTAGGGCCGGGCGCGGTGGCTCATGCCTGGAATCCCAGCACTTTGGGAGGCCGAGGCAGGTGGATCACTTGAAGCTGGGAGTTCAAGACTAGCCTGGCCAACACGGTGAAACCCTGTCTCCACTAAAAACACAAAATTAGCCGGGTTTGGGGGCGAGCTACTTGGTAAGCTGAGGCAGGAGAATCGCTTGAACCCAGGAGGTGGAGGTTGCAGTGAGCTGAGATCATGCCACTGCACTCCAGTCTGGGGGACACAGCAAGATTCCATCTCAAAAAAAAAAAAAAGAGATTATAGCACTTAGAGCTTCCAAAAGAGTACTCAAGGCCAGGCGTGATGACATGAGACTGATGTCTTCCAAAGCTTCTGAGCAAAGTAGAAAAGCTGGTAAGCAGCCAAAGTTAAAATGTGCAGTTTAAAGAAGAGCTCTGAAGAAAGTTTAAAGTAATTATGCAAATATAACAGTTGGCAAATGATCTGAATACCCATGGCATGCAGTGATGATTATAATACAGGTTGTAATTAGAATCCGTACCCCATATTGATGGGAGAATTAAAGGAGGTAATGTATATAAACCAACACTATTTGGAAACCAGTGAGGAAATCGGTCATGAAAGGAGTCAATGAGAAAAAGCCTATTGACTGCCCAGCACCTGCAGTAGTTGCATTTTAGGCTTTTACCGCCAATTGAAGGGGTCATTTCATTCATTTCTACAATAGACTGTAACGAGTGGTATGCTAAATATAAACTTTAGAGGCATAATTCTTCCCAAGGGTCTCTACATGTGCTGGGTAACGGAAATACAGCAGCATACCCAAAACCTGAACCTGTGCTAAATTAATTTTTTTGTCACGTAAGTAATTGCTTGTACCTGTCTTTACAGATAGGATGAAGGACTCAATCTCATTAGAGGAAGATGAACTATATAATAGCAAAACTACCTACCCTCATGAATTTTGAGCAGTAGTTCTTCTGCTTTAAGATCGTTAAAGCATTTCACTTCAAATCCTAGATCTGAAAACCTAGTGATATATTAAATGAAATGTTAGCCTATAAACTTTTCAAAGTTGTCAAATATCCTTACTTTGGAGGAATCTATACACATTTTAATGACACATAAATTTTCTTTCTTTAGGAGAAAAGAAATGAAATATAACAATGGTGGTTTTCCCTTCATTCACCATGGTAGGAAAGGATTTAATCATAATGACAACCGATTCAATTTAGAGTGTTGTTGTCTACTATGCAAATGTTAGTACAAATGCAAAGCCTGTCAACATTTAACAGAACAGAGTAAGGAAGGTAACTCAGGCAAGTTCTTAAGGGAGGCTGCATCAAAGCGAGGCCCATCTTGAAACACTCTTGATCTGCTATTACCTCATTAGTGTTGACAAGTTACGATAAGTAACTTTTTTTCCCTACTTCTATGAGTCTGGAATTTTTTTAATTTTTAATTTTTTTTTAACTTTTCTTTTGGAAGCCTGGAAAAAAAATTATTTTATTTTTTATTTTAGAGACAAGGTCTCCCTCTGTAGCCCAGCCTGGAGTGCAGTGGCACGATCACAGCTCAGTGCAACCTTGAACTCCTGGGCTCAAGCAGTCCTGCCCCTTCAGCCTCCAGAGTAGCTGGACTACCGCCACCATGCCCAGCTAATTGATTTTTATTTTTTGTAGAGACAGGGTCTCACTCTGTTGCCCAGACTTGTTTCAAACGCCTTGCCTCAAGTGATCCTCCCACCTTGGCTTCCCAAAGTGCTGGGATTACCAGCATGAACCACCACACCTGGCCAAAAGTAATTTTATCACTTAACTGCCTCATCTTGATATGTAGATAAAACTACTACCTGCGGGTAAGATTGTCTCTGTCTGTGCAGGTGCCCCGCCTTTCTGGCAGTGTTAAGTGCCAAAAGAACCTCTCATGATTGAAGATTAAAGCAATTCCTCTCCTCCTGTGGTCCATTTTGTACTTTTCTGCCGGATCAAATATTTCTCTGTTAATGAAAAGTTCAAAAACAATCACTTCAAGTCATATTAAATAATGAGCCCCTCCAAGTTCTAGGTCAACATGTAGATAGAGATCTGAGCTTCCTCCTTGCCAGGTTGATGTTCCACTGGTGTGCTCCAGGAAAAGCCATGCTAATAAGGAAAGTCCTGAAATATCTCTCTGGCAATTGGTAAACAGCAGCCATGTGCCATCCTGATACATCCCTAACCCTCTGCCTTGATGTCTTTCCCCGGGCCCCCAGGATCCAGCAACCAAGAATAACCACGAGGCTCAGAACCAAGCTCTAGCTCTAGGCTCATGCCATGCCGGTATGTATTCTGACTCCAGGTCCCTCGACAACAAGGGGCAGCACCACCTGCCTATCTACAAATCAGCTCCCCAAAGGCTAAAACTTGGCCTACTCAGTTCTTCTTTCCAGCTCCCAGGACCCATTCTTGCTTTGATTTCTGTAGGCTGATCATGACCATCAAAGGAAGAGACCTTTATTAGAAAAGAGCATGGCTTTACCTTTTATAGAAGGCATCTGTTTCTGTCATGTTTTCTTCCCCACCTATTAAAAAAAAAGTTGATTTTTGTTCATTATTTTTTACTTAAGGCAGTAAAATATAGTAGGAACTCCCATTCCCCTTCCAACTCCCAAACTCTAAGACCCTTCTGTTTAGGTTAGTTTAAAAGCCAAAGTATACGAAGAGAAGGAAATGAAACTGCTTACTAATAAACTAAATTAACAGCTCTATGCTTTCTCACCCCCAACTCAACCTGCAAAATAACAATCTTATAAACAGAAATAGAGAAAATATTACACAAATGCATTCACTGCAAAATATGCCTAGAGTAACATAGTTCTGTGATTATGGAGTTGAAATATGAAGTTGCTTTGTTATGCAGAAAATGTTTTTGCACATATTTTCTGAAACAAAGAATTGAGTCCTACAGGAGAACTGAAATACAGTGTGGTTAATGCTGGATTAGCAGTGGTGTAGGCCTGGAAGAGGTAGAAGTTTGGGTGGAGGAAGGGAAGGGCAAGGGCAAAGACTTGGACCTTGGATCTCCTGCATGACACATCCGCATTTCCAACTCTATAAGGGAGCTCTCTGCTCTCCAATCTCAACTGGACTCCCTACTCCCTGGACAGCCAGCCTTCCACTGAATTCCTGTCTACTCTCCAGAGCACTGCTATGTCATGGAACTGTCTGTGATAGTGGAATTGTTCCATATTTGCACTGTCTCATAAGGTAGCCACTGGCCACATGTGTCTACTGAGCATTGAAATGTAGTTAGTGCAACGGAGGAACTCAATTTATTTTCAATTTAAATTAATTGGCCAGTGGCTTCTACACCAGACAGTGCAAAAAGTGGCATCTTCTACAATAAAGTCCCCATCCACTCATGCATCTGTTTTTACCTGATAGCTCAACAGCTTAGAGAGGAAACAGTAATGAATAAACCGAAATATTAGCAGTATAGCAAGAGGCACCCTTCAGTTGAGGAGGAATGACCGTAAAGCATGGACTCTTACCCATCATCTCCTAGCCAAAAGGATTGTGTTTCCCTGACCTTAAGAGATCTCCCCATTACTAGCCCCCATCACCTGATGGTTCTAACCTCACTTCTCCTAAAAAAAAAATACAAGGTGGGGAATTCAGTTCAAGTCCCCGTTAGCCTATTCCTCCGGGAACTGCCCCAAGCAATCAGACCCAACTAAGACCCCACTAAGGCATCCCTCTGTCCATAAGCCCTAAGTCAGTTTTGCTCAACCTTGGACATCAGAATTCCTGGTGTGGATGTTAAAATGCAGATTCCTGGATCCTAACTGAGACAGAATCAGAATCTTAGAGGAAGGAGGTGACAGCTTCATTTTTCACAAAGTGATTTTTACACTAAGGTGTGAGAGCTAAAAGCAGCTTCTCCAACTGGTCCTCCCCGCTGCATGGCAGATGAGAAAGCTGTTTAGTCCGACCTTTGCCCTAGGTGAGCACAGCAACCAGGTACTTCCTACTCCACACACTGCTCTATGAAGACAGCACAGGGATTTCACTCTTCCCGTTTCCAAAAGCTGTCGGGATCTATTGCCTTTTGATAACCTCACCTGCTTATCTTTTAACCAATTAGACTACAAAGAAACAGTAACTTCAAGAAAATTAAAACCATATGTCACAACCATCTGCCTCACCCGCCAAAATTCTGCACAACTTGGAAAGCACTCAGTGTCTCAGCGTCTGCCCCGGTGGTAGCAGGCCAGCGGCTCACCTCCTGCGGCTTCTGCTCCATACCGACTGCTGAGCCGGAGGCTGCTCACAGCCTAACTCGCGGAAGCTGTGCCAAATGGCTGCTCAGCAAACTAACTCATATCCCTCAGGGTGAAAACACTGGAGATGTATTCTTGCTTGGGTCTTTAAAACTCTTGTTTCTCATATTCCCAAAGAAGTAGCTTCCCAGTTGTTAGCTGATATATTAGTAACTTAAGATGTGAGTTTGGGTTGTTTCAAATATGCCCTCACATTAGTCAAGACCTACAGGTTTAAGAATGGCTAACTAGTATCAAGTAGCTGCTCAAGAAAATCTATTTAAAACGACGTGCAGGCCGGGCATAGTGGCAAGCCTATAGTCCCAGTTACTTGGGAGGCTGAGGCAGGAGGATCTCTTGAGCCCAAGAGTTGTAGGATATAGTGTGCTATGACTGCCCCTGTGAATAGCCACCATACTGCAGCCTGAGTAACAGAGCTAGACCCCCATCTCTTAAAATAATATATTCAGTTTCAAAGTTAACAGATTTGGCAACCTCAGTGAGGGAATTTTTTTTTTTTTTTTAAGTTTTTGTGTTGTTTGTTAATGCTACAGATGTAGGGAAAAACCTAGGCTCTGGACACCCCGGTTCTGATGCTGGCTGGCTGTAACTTACCTTCACTCTCACAAAGTGCACCCTGCATCCTGTAGTACCAATTAATGACCAGGTCCAGTGGCCACTCTAGCAAACACCGAATCAGAACAAAATGCTATGGAGACAGATGTCAGGACCTAAGTTCCAATACTTTTCTGGAGTTGATAAACTTTACCCACAGATTGCAAAGAAAATAACACATCATGACCACCTTGAGCTGTGTATCCCAAGCAGACAAGCTTTCCAGAAGGGGGCACTTAAGTATCATTATGCCGCATTTATATTTATTTTTTATTTCTATATTTTTGAGACGGAGTCTCACTCTGTCACCCAGGCTGGAGTGCAGTGGTGTGATCTTGGCTCACCACAACCTCTGCCTCCTGGGTTCAAGCGATTTTCCTGTCTCAGCCTTCTGAGTAGCCAGGATTACAGGCATGCGCCACCATGCCCAGCTAATTTTTTTTTTTTTTTTTTTTTTTTTTTGTATTTTCAGGAGAGACGGGGTTTTGCTATGTTGTCCTGGCTGGTCTCGAACTCCTGGTCTCAAGTGATCCACCTGCCTCAGCCTCCTGGAAGTGCTGGGATGACAGGTGTGAGTCACCGCACCCAGCCTGCATTAATATTTAAAAACCTGGATAAAGTAAGAAATAGCTTTATTGATATGGAGAAAATAAATTTTAATGAAGGAGCTACCCTCTATAACAGATATAGAAATTCCTTTTCATTTGCAATCTACTTATCAAAAATGTGCCCTTCCTTAAACCTGATTCTTGACCTCTTTTCATCTTTTTTTTTTTGAGACAGAGCCTCCCTCTGTCGCCCAGGGTGGAGTGCAGTGGCGCAATCTTGGCTCACTGCAACCTCCTCCTCCCGGATTCAAGAGATTCTCCTGCCTCAGCCTCCCCAGCAGCTGGGACTACAGGCGCCCACCACCGTGTCCGGCCCTCTTTTCACTTCTCTTCCTTTCCAGGATAATGTAACTGCCACCTCCTTGTTCCTTAAATCAGTTTAGGTTTTACAAAACTAATCATTCCTTTTTTCACCTCACTCTAATTTGATAATCCCTCCAGATAATCCTGCCAGCTACCATTTGTTGATGGCCTGACGCCTTAGATACCTTATCTCACAGTTCCACAGCTCAGGAACAGGGACAGAGGGGGCCAGGCGTGCCAAGGTCGGCAAAGTGGAGTTGGGATTGAAAGCCAGGCCCACCTGCAGATTCCAAAGTCTCTGCAGGCCCATCTCCACGCAGCCCCTCCCACCTGAGACCAGCTACCTTTCTACACTTTGTTCAACTTCCCAAACGACTTGGATCATTCTACTGTCATCGTCTTCATTCACTGCACTCTATGAAAATCTACCCATCGGCTCCATCAACATGTTTAGTAACCCTATGTAGAGTAACCTCCATCAGGCCTAGAACATGTACGGGGGAGTGCGGTGGAGGAAGAAGAGGAAGGGAGCAGGTGAGTGAAGGAAACCCGGGCTTCCCGCCCCTAGAGATTGCAACTGGATCCTGTGCCTCCAGGACAAGGCTACCTATCTACTCCCTCTACGACCATGTGACTTTTACAACTTGCCTCTGGAGCACCACTTCCTTTGTGCAGCAAAATATAAAAAGTTCTTAAACAAAGGCACTCGAACCAACTGCAAGCGTTTCTTTTTTTTTTTTTTTTTTTTTTCTTGATTCTCTGTCGCGGAGGTTGGAGTGCAGTGGCGCGATCTCACTGCAACCTCCACCTCCCGGCCTCAAACGATTCTCCTGTCTCAGCCTCCCCAGCAGCAGGCGCCGACGCCTGCCTAATTTTTTGTATTTTTAGTAGAGACGGGGTTTCACCGTGTTAGTTAGGCTGGTCCAGAACTCCCGATCTTTGGTGATCCGCCCGCCTCGGCCTCCCAAGGTGTTGGGATTACAGGCGTGAGTCACCGCGTCCGGCCAACTGCAGGCGTTTCGAACTTTTTGTTTGTTTTACTCTGGCCAGGCTTGAAGTTTCTAAACTTTACCAGTAATAAGTGACAGAACGTATGTTCTTAGCAATAGATTATTTTGCAGAGAAATGTTACTGTGGTTTTGGCTCAAGCCGACAGACAGCAGCAGGTTTCCCGGATGCAGAAGAGAGATACCGGGGTATGCTCGCCGCCAGGAACTGGCCGCCTCCAGCTGAAGCCCGGGCGGACTCAGGGCCTTGGCCCGGGCACCCCGCGGCCAGTTATGATTTATGACTCGGCGGAACAACCCCTCCTTTTTACTTTTCGAAGTGAGCAAACAAAAGATCCAACCCCCAAAAGTCAGCATTTAAAACGGCCAGGCGTGGGGGAACGTCAGGCCCAGGTGGGGCCAGCCTTTTAAGGTTTAAACAGCCGGGGCGCCCCGAAAGTGCTCATTGTCCTGGTGGACAAAGGCGGCAGGGGCGCGCCCCGGCGCCGGCGCCGCTACCCGGGACCGCCAGGAGGCGGCGGTCAGGTCCCGGAGTGCTTCTTAGACTGACGCTCGAAGCCGTCCCCGCCAGCCCTGAGCCCTTCAATCCAAGAGTGCAACTTTTCCAGGCCGCCCTGCAAAGCCGAAGGAACCCGCCGCACCGCTCCGGACCGCGAGACCAGCCCGCTAACCCGCATTTCCCCTCCAGCAGGAGCAAGACGCAGACCTGCTCGGTGCCCAGTCAGCGCCC